CTTCCAACTCTATGATTCTATGATTTGAAAAATATGTATGATACTGTAATTCTATAACAATGTAGTGTATGAAAAAAATAGTCAAATCCCAGCATTGTGACAGTTTTATTCACTTCAGCAGTCATTATTCACAAGCCAATATTATTTAGGAGTCACTGGACCTGATCCAGTTCCAATGACTTTTTAGTTTCATGGATAGAGTTCAGTCTCCTTGCACTAGATGCATCAAATTCAATATGAAAAATGTGTATCAGCTACATATATCCAGTTTAGGAGGAGTACTCATCTTCCATGAGGATGTCATGGCCACATTAGTGGCATACACAAAACTAGAGATAGAAATTCACTGTCCTGAATCCCCCCCCCAAGGATGTATACTCATACTCAAGTATAGAAACAGACACTATAAACCAGGGGTAGGCAACCTTTCCCCTCTAAGGGCTGAGGGACTTTAGCTCCCAGAAGCCTCAGCCATGTTGGCCAATGGTCCCATGTTGGCCAATAGTTCCTGGGATTCTGGGAGCTGAAGTCCCTTGGCCCTTAAAGGGGAAAGGTTGCCTACCCCTGCTATAAACAATCTTTCAGCTTCTGGGCTTGGGATGCATTTTGAAAAAATAAAAAGATTCATTAGACCACATGTCTGCATATTTTGAAGGAAAACCATGCAAAGAAGACTGTGCAGAATTGTAAAATGCAGAAAAGCACATTTTAGTCAATAAGTGCATATATTCAAAATGTGTGCCTTTTGAACACATGAGCACTCAATAGCCAAAAACTCATCTGAAGCTGTCAGCATGAAATTCTATCATAGAGTTCCAGTCATTAGAGATGGAGGATGAAGGTGGCACAAGGAGGTAATGGGTATTTCTTACACAACATTGGAAAAGGGAGTTCCAGTTTTTCTAATGTGCTAAGAATTCTAGCTCACAATCCATACATTTGAAAAATGCACATAAAAATAGGTATTGGCAGGGTGGAAAGTGAGGTGGCAAACATATCAAACCTGCAAAGAACTTACAGGTAGAAACTGGAGAACCTCAACAAGTTCATGCTTTATGGATCTTTTTTACTAGAGGAATATGATGGCTTTTAAATCAGCTTGTTTCTAATCTTGTTCTTTTCTTAACTAAATTTAATATGGTTAGATTACACACATGTATTTGTTCCAGAATGAGCATTCCCAGAACACTGAGCTTCACAACAGCTGTTCCTGGAGTTATTTGAATGCTTTCCTTCAAGGAAGATTCATTTCTTCAATGGCTTTCATTCCAAAATGGTGCAAGTGTTCTGCATTATTTGTTATTAAATTGTGTAATTCTTAAGATGGTTACAATTGTCTGTTGTGGTAAGGGAAGGAAACATTTGTCTTCACGTCTGTTTTCATGATCAGGATGTGTGTGTGTGTGAGTGTGAGTGAGTGAGAGAAAGAGAGAGAGATTAATGGGTGACTTTGTTTCTGCAGGTGAATTAATGCAGTCTTCTTTCTTTCCTTCTCTTTTTTTTCATGAATAACCAAATTGTATTATATTTATATATTTCTTTGTGACAAAAATAATCTGTACCCAGATGTAGGATAAAAATTCACTGGGATGTTTTCCTGCCCAAGGCTTATTACCATAAATATTTTATCAGCGAGGCTTACATGATACCATTCATTTCAGTGGCACTGCATCCATATTGTCCAGAGCTGTAACTAAATATCCAAGAATCACATGGGATGAGGGGTGAGAGAGAAAGACAGGTGGACAATTGCAACTTCATCCGTTTGACCCAATGAGTTGCCTCTTTTTACAAGTCTTCCTTATATAATGTACTCTGAAACAAATGCATTCATTTTCTCTTCTAGAATATCATTCTAGTTTGCTAAGCACTATTGATATTTCAATGCTGTCTTTTACAGAAGATTCATTTTTTTCAATAGCTTTCATTCATCTGGACACAAAATGGTGCAAGTGTTCTGCATTATTTGTTATTAAATGCATAATTCATAAAAATGGTTGCAATTGTCTGTTGTGGTAAAGGAAGGAAACATTTGTTCACTTTTCTTTTCATGATTAAGACTTGTGTGAGTGGGTATACGTGATGACAGGGTGTGTTTTTTGTTTCTACAGGTGAGTTAATGCAGCCTTCTTTCTTTCCTTCCCTTTTTTTAATCATGAACAACCACATTGTATATATCAGGGGTAGGCAACCTAAGGCCCGGGGGCCAGATGCGGCCCCCTGAGGCCTTTGGACTGGCCCCAGGCCGGTCCTGCCGCCACCCACCATGATGATATTGATTATTGTTGTTATTACTTGTTCTTGGGGTTTTCTTGGCAAAATCTCCACAGGGGTTTTGCCATGGCTTTTCTGGGGCCAGGAGAGTGTGCATGCATATTTTTAATTTTTTTAATTTTTAAAATGTTTTTTAATTTATTTATTTATTTATTTATTTTTGGTGCTTCGGCCCCCCAATTGTCTGAGGGACAGCATCCCGGCCCCCGGTTCAAAAAGGTTGCCTACCCCTAGTATATATGGTGGCAAAAATAATATCATCTGTCCAGATGTAAGACAGAAATTCACCAGGATGTTTTCCTGTCCAAGGCTCATTACTATAAATGTTTTATTAGCAAGGCATACGTGTTCTTGAACTGATCCCATTCATTTAATGGCACTGAATCAATGTTGTCTGGAGTTATAACTGAAGATACAAGAATTTACATGTGGCAGGGTGAGACAGACAGACAGATAGTTGGAACTTCCTCTGTATGACTTAACAAGTTGCCTCCTTTTACAAACACCACAAAATATAGCATACTGTCTTCCAGAATACCATTCCAGTTTGCTAAGCACCACTGATATCTATTCAGATGAGAAAAGCTACACATGCTACTTTCAAATGAATTAAGAACACTTGACTGTCACAACCTACCCATTAAGGCAAGGCCCAAGATGGTATTGCTGCTCATGGCAAAAAAGGAAGAGAGTATATTTTCAAATTTCAAAAGCCAGGTAGACTGGGAGCGAATCTTATTTCAGCACTAATGATAGGACAGTGGCCTCCACCCTGGGACCCATTCACACCACACAATTACATTACTGTGGGCCAAAACAGATGGACCAAAAGCATCACTTTTGGGCTGATCCTGGGGCGTGGTGTCCAGGTGACGTCTGCCCCTGGATCGGGCCAAAGCTGCGCCACAGCCACCTAAGGTGGCCCAAACCTGGTGCAAAAAGGAGCACAAAAAAATTGTTCCTTGCTGGCAGTACATTGTGGTGGTGGCAACCTCGGGACTGGAGAATCTGATCGCCATGGTCCTGCACCAAACAGGGAGTGATGGGGTGGGAGCAACCTCTGGCCACTCTTTTTGCCCCAACTGCTTGAGGCCTATGATGCCACCGAAATGCCCTGGAACTGGCAGTTTAGGAAGGTGCATTTAGAATTATCAGTCATAGAACTCTAGTCCCTTACCAAACTAAAAATCCAAGGATGCCATAAGAACTAGCCATGGCAGATGGGATATCACAATATATTTGTATAGTAAAAATAGTTCCTTAATGGTGGCAAGCTAGCATAGGAAACAGAGCAAAGTGCTTAGCATGCATCTCTTTCTTCTAGTGTCTTGCTGCTGTCTCTCAGCATCTGCCATCAGAAGAAATCAGTTTGTTTGTTTTATGTTAAGCCTGACCCATATATACTATACACATTCAGATTCTTTACACATTCAGTAATAACTGGCCCCAGTCATCCTCTGTTCTTAGCTGTGCTTCCCACCTGCATCTTCCATGAGATATTTGCTGCTGAGCTGTATATTTCAGAGCACAAAGACTTGAATTTGTTATTATTAACTGCCAACAAGGCAACTTTGACTTATGACAACCCTATGAATAAGAGACTTCCAAATCACCCACATCAACAGCCCTACTCTGGTCTTGCAGATTCAGTAGTAGATTTACTACTACTACTAGGATTCCCCAGTCAGCAAGGTCAGTGGAATTGCTGGCTGAGGGGATTCTGGGAGTTATAGGGTATGTCTACACCAGCCAAAAAAATCTGAGTGCAGCTTGGAGTTTCTGTTCCACAGCTGCTCCAGATCCACTACATGAGTACCACGTGTACTGGCATGAAAGTGAGATGAACCCACCTTACTGTCCAGATGGTCAGATGGGACAACAATGGATTGGCACTAGTGCACATATCATCAGGACTGCTGCTGCTGCCCTGGTGGCGCAGTGGTTAAATGCCTGTACTGCAGTCACTCACTCATAGACCACAAGGTTGCGAGTTCAATATTAGCCAGGGCTCAGGCTAGACTCAGGCCTGCATCCTTCCAAGGTCGCTAAAATGAGTACCCAACTGTTGGGGGGCAATGAGCTTACAGTTGTAAACTGCTTAGACATCCCATACCACAATATGAAGCGGTATATAAATGAAGATGCTTTGCTTCCTCACGGCCCACAAAAGCAGCTCCCTGGTAGAAGAGCCTTGCTGCTGATGTTGCTGCTGGTGAGATCAGAACAGGATGTCTAGCCATATGCAACCCATTCCTTGTTGATCACATGCCAAGAGCAACATGTCATCATTGGGGCTCTGCTGAGTGGGTGTGCTTGATTTCAAAGGTTCAAAGGTGGTATCAGAGGAGAACCTGAGGAAACAAGAACACTATCTTCTTCTTCTTCCTCCTCCTCCTCCTCCTCCACCAACAAGTGGCTGGGCTCAGAGTGAGTAGCAAGTAGCACAGGCACTTTAAAAAAATGGCAACAGTTGCCACCCATACAAATCCAACCTGATCCAGGTGCCCACACTTCTAAAAATACCAAGGTCATTCCAGAGTTTTCTGAAAGCTCTGAAGTAACTGGTGAGTTTTCTTAAGTCAGATTAAAGGCTAAAAGAAGCAGTTTTGCTGCAGAAGTGGCTGTACATTATTGGGACTGATCACACCAGGTTTGAGGTGACAGCATGAAATAGTGGTTTGAATGTTGGACTGCAACTCTGGAGACCAGGGTTCGATTCCCCGCTCAGCCATGAAAACCACTGGGTGACCTTGGGCAAGTCACATGCTCCCAGCCTTGAGGGAAAGCAATGGCAAGCCTCCTCTGAACAAATCTTGCCAAGAACATTCCATGATAGCAGTCACCTTAGGGTTGCCATAAGTCGGAAAGGGCTTGAAGCCACACAACAACAACACTTCCATAGTCCAAAAAAGCTCCTTCTCCAAGTTCTGTCCCACAGTAAAACATGCCCTTCACTGATCAATATTTTAAGATACTTATTTGAGCTACCAATTTTATATTTTATATTTTCTTTCTTACTCTATTTTTTGTTAAAGTTTACTGAAATATTTGCTAATATGCATTTCTTATGACAGAATTATTTTGCTTTCTCTCTTATACCTACCAAATATCTTCTTACCAAAGATAAGTATTTTTCATTTTCTATTATTATGTAATACAAAATTAAATACAGGAAACAGTAAATAAAAGAAGGAAACCTATAATAAAATAATAACAGTAAGAAAATACATTCAGAATAAATACACTCAAAATAATATACGCCTCCTTTTCTCACTAAATTATTTCAACTTTCTGAGTTAGAAACAATTTAATAATTAGAAACAATTCAACACTGCAGACATTCTTGGCCATGTCTGAAAGTACCTGGATCTTTCTCCCAGAATTCTGGAGTTTGCTTAGTTGCGTTCCAAACCCGCTTTTACAGTCACATTCTATAGCATTATTCTTTTTTCTTAACTGAACACTGTTATGTTTCTTGGGAACAGTGTCTCCTTTAGGATTAATCCTCAGTGTTGCCTATGAATAAATTGAATCTTCATAATCTAAGTCTGCTTTCTTATTTTTTTAAAAAAAACCTCTACACTCTCAACAAAGTTCTCAGATCTCCCTTTCCAATACTTTTCAAGAGTTCTGATGAAAACTAGGTTATATTTCACCTCATCATTTAACCAGGCTTTCACTGTTAGTCTACATTTTCTCTGCTATTATCTCTATAACTCTTCAACTCTGCTGTTTTATTATACACCTTTGTGCTGGTGTAAAGCAGTGGTTCACAGATGTTTAAATTCAAATTCCTGCTTTCACATAATAATTGTGGGAAAATCTTGGGCAAGTTACTGCCAAACTAATCTGTTTCATATGATAAAACCATATATTCTGCCCTGAATATATATAGTAATAAACCAGAGAGTTGTTTTGAAGTGGTAAATCAAACCCTACTCACTGAAAACTAGTTCTTTATAAATATATCATGACCTGAAGGTCAATATCTCAGTGAACATTCCTCATGCCTTTTCATATATATATATATATATATATATATATATATATAT